TGTCCTCCCCGACCCCGTGACTTCACCTCGGCGTGTCCTCCCCGACCCCGTGACTTCACCTCCGCGTGTCCTCCCCGACCCCGGGACTTCACCCCGGCGTGTCCTCCCCGACCCCGTGACTTTATCTCAGTATGCTCTCCCTCCTGACTTTGCTTCAGTGTGCCCTCCCGACCCCGTGACCTCATGTGCTCTCTGATCTTGTGACTTCTCAGTGTGGCCCCACCTCGTGGTTTGCAGTCTCTGACCACCGAAGGCCTCCGTGCTCAGTGCCCATGGCTGGGCAGGCCCGGTGGCAGCATATTCATTAGATGAGGACTGGGGGGCCTGCGTGTTGACCGGCGTGCCCCAGGCACCTGGCAGGAACGACGGGCTCTCCCTGCTCTGAGATCGTCCGGGCCCTTCTCACCAGCACCTGTGGATTTGCTGTGCCTGTGTTGGCCCTCTGGGCCCCTGGGTGCCGCTCCCCGCCCTGGGCCCCCGATGCTGCTTTCTCCTTCCAGACTGCCCCCTGTCTGTGGTGGTCCCCACTGACTCTGGCTTTCTCCACTCGAAGGAAGCTTGTTTCTGATGAACCTGCTGACGGCTATCATCTACAATCAGTTCCGGGGCTACCTGATGGTGAGCCAGTCTGCCATTTCTGCCCGTCTGTGAGGAGCGGCCCCTGGAGGCCAAGCGGGGCACGACCGGCCGGGTGGCCGCAGCAGTGGGGGGTGGCCGGGGCGGGGGTGGTGGTCTCCCGTGGTCTCTGCACTGCCCTCTGGCTCCCTCCTGCGCCACATCCTCCCTCCCCAGGCGGCGCTGTCGCCACAGTCCCCCGGGTTCATGTCCTCTAGAGGGAGGCCATGAGGTCGCGGCTCCAGGGCAGGTGGCCCCGAGCCCACCGTGTGGGAGAACGGGGGACCCCAGATGTGCAGAGCAGAAACACACAGCGAATTCCATGGGCCGTGCAGAGTGAGGGCTGCTCCCCAGCTGCAGGTGGGCAGGCTGCCCCCCAGAGGCACTGGGCCCGAGGTGGGGGGATGCGCGGCCCGGAGAGGCCCAACCCCAGCACTCAGAGCCGTTTTCCTTGCAGAAGTCTTTCCAGACCTTCCTGTTCCGGAGGCGGCTGGGAGCCCGGGCCGCCTATGAGGTCCTCTCCTCCATGATAGCAGAGGGAGAAGCCCACCCTCAAGAGTGAGTGCCAGGGCTCCCGGGACCCCCTTCTCCCTGAGGGGGGAGGGAACCCCTCAGATGCTCCATAGAGTGTTTCCTGAGCAGCGACTGCGCTCCGCCGAGCTCCCTGCGGGCTGGCGCCTGATTTTAGCGCTGCCTCGGAATCACGAGGACGCCACGTCCCTGGTGCTGCAGGGTTCTGTCGTGCTCTGAGTTGACTCCTTTGTCCTCATGACCCCTGCAGACCATGGGCTGGTGAGGGCCAAGTGGCTTTGGCCCTCTCCCCCGGCCTGCGCCCTTCCCGCACCACTGAGCTTGGGTGCGGGAACCAGGGGGGCCTGGTCTGGAGATGGTGTCTGTGGAAGGTGCCCACGCGGACGGCTCGTGAGCCACCCTGTCTATCTCTGTCGTACTGCGCGCCACTTCTGAGTGCCGGCATGCTCCTCTTGAAGGCGGGACAGTAGTGTCTGGGGATTTTACGTGACGGGATGACTGAAGCGTCGCGGCTGGCTCCTGCACAGAGGCCCTTGTCATTGCCCAGAGCCACTCGCCCCATGCGGCACAGCTCCGGCCAGAGGTGTGGGCGCCCCGGCACGCTGAGCTAGTTGGGCTCACTGGGGTGTGGGTGTCTTTTCTCCAGAGTCGGGGTGAAGCCCCAGGACTTCCTGCAGGTGCTTCAGAAAGTCCAGCTGGACAGCTCCCACAAACAGGCCATCATGGAGGTATTAGGGTCCCCTCTTCCCCTTGCCCTCCCCAACCTGTGCTTCTGGGCTCCGCCTGGAGGTCACCTCGGCACCAGCCCCTTTTCAGCAGGGGTGTCATTTCAGATCAGCCAGGGCTGGCCGAGGCCGGGTGGGGCTGGGGACGGTGCACCCTCCTGTCCTGGGCCCTTCCTCCCCTCGGCCCAGCTGACCCCGGCTGACCTGTGTTTCCCTCCTTTGCAGAAGGTGCATTCCTACAGTGGTGACCTGTTATCAGCTGATGAGTTTCAGAAACTCTTCAATGAGTTTGACAAAAGGGTGATTAAAGAGGTAACTGGGGCCAGGCCACCTGGGGTGAGCTGGGAACGTTACAGTACCTGTCGGCATTGATCACCCGGGTGACTCTTAATGATCAGTGCCAGGACTCGCCTTCCTAGGGATTCCGGCCCCTAGGATGGTAAATGGGGACAGAGATGGCTTGGCTCTTGGAAGCTGGGGCGGTTTTGTCAACCTTGTGAAATTCACAGACCACAGGGATTGGCCTGGGCCAAGTCTGACCCAGAGGAACTTTCCAAAGGGTTTTCCCTGTCTCCACGACAGCTTCTTATCTATTTCCGACACACTCTTACCTACTTCCATGTGTCCTTCCCCAGGAGGGCCCTGAGTTTGTCCAAAGCCTTTGTATTTTGTCCTTGACACCGATTTGTAAAGCCACCAGATGGGCCTTGGCATCCAGCTCAGCACTGTGTCAACAAAGAGCCCTGTTCTGTGTTAAGCTTTCAGTTATTAGTGCGTAACTCTCACATATTTTTTCACAGAACGCTCTTTGTTTTGTGGTAAACACTTTGCATATATTCAGATGGCCGCCTCATATTCCATCGCGGTTTACCTGAGTAGTCCGTGGCCATTTACGTTCTCTCTAACTCTCTTTGATGTTAAAAGATGACCGTGATGAACATCTTAGTGTGTGCGACTATTTCCATGTTTGGGATTATTTTGTTAGGCTGGACAGACTGGGATAAGAGAAGAGGTAGGAAAAAGTTGAATCCCAAAATAAGGGGGTCCGGGCACTGGTGGGCTCCCAACACGGCCTCCTGCAGGCTCAGGTTTTTGAGCCTGCGTGTGTTCCCTCCCCAGCCCCCACCGCGGCCCGAGTACCTGTCTCCCTTCCTGCAGCGTGCCCAGTTCTTTTTCAGCCACCGCTACTTTGACTACCTGGGGAACCTCATCGCCCTTGGGAACCTCCTGTCCATTTCTGTGAGTGCGGACTTGCCCTCATGTGGACGTGGGAGGCGCCTCATTGCCCGCCCCCTGGCCCCCTCCCCTCCTCCCAGCTCCCCGACCATGGCCTTGGCACCCGGGCACTGGGCCGGGCTGGCGAGCTGCCTTGCGCTCTGGCTCTGCAGGTGTTCCTGGTGGTAGACGCAGACGTGCTGCCCGAGGACCGTGATGACTTCGTCCTAGGGGTGAGCTCTGGGGCCGCGCGGGTGACCCGGGAGGCAGCGGGAGCGAGAGGGCACAGCCTCCCCCTCCCTGGGGCCCTTCTGGTGCAGAGCTGCTCCTCGCATCGTGGGGTGCCCCCAGAGGACAGGGTGCCGGCCCGGGGGAGGCTGGTGTGGTGCAGGTGGGGCTGTTGGCATCTTCCGGGCTTGCATGGCCCTGGGCTTGGACCTTTCCCTTCCTGGCTGCTTCTCAGCCGGTTCTCAGCCCTTTCTGGAACTGTGAACTCCCTTCTTAACATTACAAGGTCTTGTTGAACTCCTTAGGAATTTAAAAACAATTTTTTCACCTTGGATTTTAAGCAAGTAGTAGCAATACTTCCACATTACTCAATGCTGGAACTCTAACAAAGCAGGTATTTTAAAGTTTATTTTAATGAAAGATCTTGTGAACAATATTAAAATGGATGAAAGTGAATAAATGTTCTCTAATTACATAGGAAAAAGCTTGACTTGTCTGATTTAAAACACAGTATGTCGTGCATATTAAACGTAGAGTAGTTTTATTGTAGCATCAAAATGGAAAAAATGGTTTTCCTGACCTGATGCTTGAAATTCCTTTGTGTTATTCTTCAAGAAAAGTCCTATTCTCAGTTTTCTTATTTCCGTTGTACTTTTTTCCCGGATGACACCAGAAAGCTTCAGTCTCCTCCTCGTGAGTAACGCACTGTAGATGCGGCTGGTTTTTATTCCTGGTGAAGTCAAGTTGGATACAGTTGAGCTATATTTTATCTTTTTTAACAGTAGTTGTTAAGCATGAGGGTCGGCGTGATGGTCTGTGAGAGACTTCTGGTCACCTGAATGCCTCGTGGGGGTTTTGGGGTTCTTGCAGAGTCCCATCCTTTTCTGCCCCTTGGTAATTGCTCATGATGCAGGGTCTGAAATGTTCTTCCTGCCTTAAGGGCGACCTCTTCACGTGTGTGAATGAGGCAGCACTGACCAAGAATGTGGAATTTAGACTGGACACTGAGGTGGGGTGACTGCAGTGGTCATCTGACCCCACGTGCCCCTCCCGTGGCCCTGTGCACGCCGGGGGGAGGGTGCTGTGAGACCCCCATTAAGGGGAGAGCCCCTTTGTATTTGACTGACTGGCTTCAAAAAAGACAGTGACCCAGTAGCCTGTGGTGACCTTCAGTTCTGAGACCTCCTCCGACACCCCCCAGGGGCTGGGAGGATGCTGCTGAGAGCCAGGCGTGCCCACCGGGGAGGCCACTGCCCACGTGTGTTGTTAGAGGTCGGCCCGATGTTCCCATGGAGAATGGACTGGAGGGGTCGGGACAGAGAGCTGGGGGCGTGGGCTTGGGCGGCAGCCACGGGGAGGGAGAGCTGTGGCAGAACAGGGGCCGGTGACCCAGGCCCTGCAGGCCCAGAAGGGATGTGGGGTCGGGAGATGGAGGGCTAGGTGAGTGTGGGCTGGGGTGCCGCTGTGCTGGTTATCCCCAAAGCCAGCGTGGGGTACCCGGTCACCTGAGGGGAGGGTATGGAGCAGGAAGGTGGGGTGCTGGAGACGCCCCATGTGTGAGGGGAGGGGGCACGGGAAGAGCAGTCCCGAGAGCCCCGAGGGGCAGACGAGGGGAGGGCGGGTGATGTGGGGCTGGACGCTGGTACGTGTTTTCCTCTCTTAGATTCTCAACTGTGTCTTCATCCTGTACTACCTGCTGGAGCTGCTGCTGAAGGTGTTCGCCCTGGGCCTGCCGGGGTACCTGGCCTACTCCAGCAACGTGTTTGATGCGCTCCTCACCATCGTCCTGCTGGTAAAGTCTGAGACGCCCGGGCCGCTGGTCTCTCCGGGTGGGCGGTGTGCTCTCTGCGTCTGGCTCTGCGCCGTGTTCCATCTCAGGCTGTCCCTCGGGAGCAGAGGGCCCGGGAATTTGGGCTCCTGCCTCCAGTGACCAAGGGCTGGCTTTCCCCCGCATGAGCTGCTTGGTGGGCGGCCAATGGGGGCCGATAGGAGGCAGGGTTTCCACTGCATCGGAGCGTCGTGGGGGCAGGCTGCCCCTCCCGCCCCTGAGGGGGCCCGGAAGGAGGCCGCAATCCTCGCTGGCTAACCAGCCCCGGCCACAGACCTTGGGACAGTGGGACCTTGCCGCGGGTGGGGGGAGGGCAGGGGGGTCTCGGGCACCCTTTCCCCAGAACCCGTGGGAGTGGAGGGTCACGCGTGGTGTGGGTCACGACAGCCACACTGGTGCACTGTGTATTCGTGTTTGCGAGGAGCTGTGGGCCCCTTGGGACAGGAGCAAAGACAGTCTGAGAGAAGGGCCTTCGGTCTGTCCTTGACCCGGGCCTCCGCCAGCCTTGCAGGTGTCCCCGCCCCCCATACGTGCGGGCCGCTGGTTCCCAAGACCTCAGCGTCTTTCTCAGACGCAGGAAGCCCCACGTTTGGAACCAACCCCTAGGGACAAGGACGGAGCTCTGACTTCTCCCCCAAACCCCCTTTTGGGGGGGAGCGTGTTACACACGAGCTTTAGAATTCGTTTGAAAGCCGCCTAGATTAGCATTGCTGTAGCGATCTTCTCTTCTTTTGTAATTAAAGGTTTTGGAGATCTCAACTCTGGCTGTGTACCGATTCCCACACCCAGGCTGGTATGTGACTGCAGAGAGCCGAGGGAGGCTACAGCAGCCAGCGCCCCACTAGGCCCCAGGGGTGGGTGGCCCGCCTGCTCGGGCTGCTCGGCTCCAGGGTGAAGCGCCCGAGTGTTAGGAGAGCAGGCGGCTCGGAGCATGGCCGGCTGAGGACCGTGGGAGCAGACCCCTCTCCTCGCTCTTGGGGACCATGTCCTAACTTGCCGTCAGAACGATAGTGTTCCCAGAGTTGGGACAAGCCTCTAGAGGGCAGCGGGCTCAGCACCGGACCAGGATGGGGCACACGGCCGCCGGTGTCCTGGGGAGTGGAGACGCCCTGCTCAGGGCTGGGGTGCCCCTTGAGCACTGGAATAGGGCTGGAAGAAGCCGTGTGACGTTGGCTTGTCACCTCCCGCTCCGGGGGTCGGTTTACCGCCCTGTAAGATGGCAGGGGCCGGGGCTGCTGTTGGAGCTCCCCCACCCCCGCTTCTGGCCGTAGAGCAGTATAGATATCTGGGCAGGGGGTCCCGGAGCGCCTCGAAGTGTGGCTCGTCGTGGCTGTCAGGTCGCGTTGCCCAGAACACAGCTGCCAGCCAGTGCGCGTGCTGGCCCTGGGCATCTTGGCCGCCCTGGTGTCTGGAGTCTCTGTGGACTGCTTCTGTCCTAATGGTGCAGCTGGAAGGTGCTGGAGGCGGGGAGTGGGGCTGAAAGACTTGCTTTGGGGTCAGCTGCCCCAGAGCCAGCCAGGAAGGTGTGGGGCAGACAGGTCGGGCTGGTGCTGTCCTTGGTGGTGTGTTGGGGCCTGGCGGCTGCAGGCCCAGCTTCCCTTGTTTCTAAAGTACACTGAAGACCCACCGCGCACTTCTGTCTGAGAATCACAGGGGAGCATTGTACATGAGAGTGAGTTTCAACTGAAGTAGAAACGAGAGCGGAGTAAGCCCCCGAGGGACACCAAGAGGGGCCGGGATACAGGATGGGATCATAGGACAGGGGATGGGGTCAGGAGCCAGGGTCAGGTGATAGGCATAGGAGCTGAGACCAGAGACAGGGGTGAAATAGGATCGTGGTTAGGGGTCAGGGGACGGGGGACTGGCTCGGGGGCCAGGTCTCTTCTACTGCTGGGACCTGAGCTGGGTGTTCCAGCGTCTGGAACCTGAGTGGTGTCCTGTGTAAGATGAGGGGTATGATAGCCAGTGCTGTCCTGGGCTGGCAGGTGTGGCCGTCCATGCTCTGTCCTGTACCCGTGACGACGCCCCCTCCCTGCCCTCCCCCCACTTGCTCTCTGCATCTGGTCTGAACACGCCATCTCCTTATCTTCTTGTTGCCAGCATCTCGAGGCTCTGCCAACCTGTCTCCCGTGTGTCTCTCCAGGAAGCCAGAGATGCTGGGCCTGCTGTCGCTGTGGGACATGGCCCGACTGGTGAACATGCTCATCGTGTTCCGGTTCCTGCGCATCATCCCCAGCATGAAGGTGCGTGGGCGTCTGACCCCCGGCTGTCCTCCCTCCATCCCGCTCCCACTGCCTCATTGCTCTAGAGAGTGGCCGAACCTGGGCAGGGAGGAACTGAGACCAGGACTGTCCCTCTGGCCACCTCGGTCCCCTTGGGCTGTGTCCCCAGCCCTGCACTGCAGCTGGGTGATGCTGGAGGGCAGTTGGGAGCTTGAGAGCAGCCCAGCCCTGCTTTTACGGACGAGGAGAGGGAGGGCCAGTGCAGGTGGACAGGGGTGGGCCACCTTGGCCAGCTGCAGGGGTAGCTCTGTGCTCTTTGGGACCATTGGCGTTTGTGAGGGTCAGGGGCCCGAGCCCTTGGAACCAGCATGTTCCCAGGTCTCCTGAGGTTTCCAAAAGGCCATTGGTGTAGGCCCTTGGTGGCTTCTAGTAATGAGGGGCAAAGGCACGATTGACCAAGGCACTCACCCCAGGCCCCCCAGTACAGGAGTGGGGCATATGGTTGGCTGGGGCACCAGTCCGCAGGACTCCCAGGCCTGGTGGCTTGTGACCATCTACAGGCCTCATTTTCTCTTCATGTACCCACAGGGAGTGACACCAACCTTAGGGGAGGGGAGCCAGGGGAGCAGGGCATTTAGGCCCAGCGCTCACCCAGCACAGAGGTAGAGTTCGCTTTTCCTGTCCATTTTCCTAAGAACTCTTCAGGAGGGAGGAAACCAAGGACATCAGAGCCCTCTCTGCGTGGCCAGGTCCTTCCCCTGTGCTCGTCTGTGCTTTCTACCAAGCTGCGCCCCTGCGCCGTCCGGCGGATTCCCTGTTAGCTAGCGGACTTGCCCATCGGGAGGTCGCCTGCGGGCCCGGGGGGCAGGCATGTGATCACACGTAACCACACAGAAACACGCACGCCTAATCACGTTCCCGCGATCGTATGCACGTGTAACCACACGTACGTGATCACACACCGGGGGCACACAGTCACACAGACTCAAGTCACACGCATACACCGAACACACACGCGTGAACCACATGCACAGCCTCACACGTGTACACACGACACGTAACTACACGTGGACTACCCCCCACACGTGCTGTGTGCACACGCGTGCACGGTGGTTTCTGTCTGTTGGCGCCCAGGGTTCCGAGCTGACGTCTCCGGTGGGGTAAACGGGCTAATCGGAGAGCTCTTCTCTGGGGCTCAGGTTCGCACGTCGGGGAGCAGCCCTCTAGCTGGGGTGCCTGGGTGGGCGTCTGAGCCCCTTTCTCAGACCTGATCACTAGGGCTGAGCCGGGTGCCTCAGGTCTGCGCTGCTTCGGAGCCTCCAGACCCGAGGGGAGCTAACCCAGCCTTACTGGGCGCTGGGCAGTGAGATCGGAGCTCCTGCCCGCGGTGCTTCACTGACGGGACTTGGAATCGGCCACGTCTGCATCTGGGTGGGTGGAGGCGCCTGCGTGTGTGGTGTACGTGAGTGTACACGGTGTGCGTCTACGTGTGTGTGTGAGTGCACGTGGCGTGCGCATATGGGTGTGTGCGTTGGTAGCTCCACCGTCCTGTCGAGCCTTTCCAGGTCCGGGTCGGGGCAGTGGGCAGGGTGGTGTGACCTCAGTGGGACCAGGAAGAATAGGGCCCTGCTTTCTTCCTGTCCTCAGCTAATGGCCATGGTGGCCAGTACCATCCTGGACCTGATCAGAAACATGCGGGCTTTCGGCGGGATCCTGGTGGTGAGTCTGGCCGGTGGGCCCTGGCCGTCGGGGGGGCGGGCACGCGAGTGGAGCTGGCTGTGGGTTCCGGGGAGTCTGAGCCCGAGGCTGGCTGGCTGCTCTGGAGGAAGGAGGGTCCTGTGTTAGGGGCGGCTGTCGGGCTGTGTAGGCCCCGGAGGCCAGCGCGCCCCCTGCCATTCCCGGGCGCGGACCCCGGGGCTGGTCTGCGGGAAGCGCTGCCCGACCACTCTCCCTTTCCGTGCCAGAGGTCCGTCGGTCACTTTTTATTCCTTCACATATTTTGGATCTCGGGCCATGCTGATACCCTGATCTTATTTTATTTATTTAAAGATTATTTATTTATTTATTTGAGATAGAGAGTAAGAGCGACAGCACGAGCTGGGAGACAGAGGGAGGGGGAGAAGCAGGCTCCCCACTGAGCAGCAGGGAGCCCGATGCGGGGCTTGATCCCAGGACCCCGAGATCATGACCTGAGCCAAAGGCGGACACTTAACCAACTGAGCCACCCAGGCATCCTGAGACACTGATTTTAAAAAGGGATCTCGGAAACCCACGTAGACCCCAGATGGAGTTTTGGTCAGCCCTCCTTGTGCAGAGGGATCCTCAGGAACTCCCAGCCGTGTGGGCCGAGAGAGAATCATGGCATCCCCCAGCCCCAGACTCAGCCTTGCCGTTGAGGTGCTGTTGGCTCTGCCCCGTCGCCCAGCCCAGGGGAACCCTGGTGCTGCTCTAGGCGTGAAGCCCTGCAGAGGAAACGGAGGCCCAGAAGGGACTGGGTTAGCCCGGGGCCTGTGCCCCTTCCTTTTCCCCCTGGCGTGTTGGGGAGAGGGGGGGACAGGTGGAGGGCCACGTAGCCTCTTCTGTCTGCGGCATGAGACTGCTGGGTGGTGCTCCTTGCACATCACCTCCTGGAGAAGCCGGGTCAGTTCCTACCTGCCCCTCCCCTGGGACCCCCTCCCCTGGGACCCCCTTCCCCTGGGACCGCCAGTAGGGGTCCTTCTCACCTCTCTTCATGCTACCCCTGTCCTGGAGAAGGGGCCAGTAGCTTCGCTTCCTTGGCCCCCGCCGGGTCTTTCCCCTTGGCTCCCAGCTTCTCTCTGGCTCCCCTGGTGGTGGTGGCTCCCCTCCTTCCCTCCGGGGCAGGTTGGCCGCCAGGACGCGGTACTTGGGAGGAGAAGCCCCAGTGTTCCCTGCGGGAGGCCAGCAGTGCCCATGGCTGGGGGCAGCGTCGAGGGCTGGCAATGTGCCGCTCTGTGGGTCCGTCTGCCAGTGGCGCTGAGCAGGCCCGGCCCCGCCTCCCCAGGTGGTCTACTATATCTTCGCCATCGTGGGCATCAACCTGTTCCGCGGTGTCATCGTGGCTCCTGGAAACGGCAGGTGAGGTGGGGCCTGAACGTGCCAAAGGGAGTGCCTCGGGGGGTGCGGAGGAGTGTGAGGCTGGGTGGTGGTGGGGGGCGGGCTCCCCGGGGCGGGGGGCTCCTAGTCCCTCCTTTGTCTCCCCTCCCTCCCCGCCCTGCCAGATGCCCTCACCTAGAGTCTGTACCGAGAGTGTTTCTGAAGCCTCCTCAGCGCCGCAGCCCCCCCCCGCACCCCGTTTGGGACCGTCAGGCCTGGCCACAACGCTGGTGGTGGGTGCCCAGAGCCAGATCTGGGTCCCGCAGTCTGGAAGCTCCGTTGCCCGTGTGTGTCTGGAGCTCTTGGCTCCTGGCTGCTCTCATAGCACCTCCGGAGATCGGGGGCCCTTCTTTCTTCCTCTGACTTCTCGGGGCCCAGAGGGGTCCAGCGGTGCAGGGGCCTGAGGCAGTGCTGGGGCGTCCCGGTGTCCACGCCCCGGTCCCCACTCCTGACCCAGCTCGCCATGTCCCCTCAGCCTGGCCCCTGACAACAGCTCGGCAACCTGCGGAAGCTTCGAGCAGCTGGAATACTGGGCCAACAACTTCGATGACTTTGCGGTGAGCCCCGCACCCCCTGCTCCTCGGGGCCCCCGCCCGCCCGTCGCCCTCCCCCGGCCCTGCTGGACCCTGTGTCTGCCGCCCCGCAGGCCGCCCTCATCACTCTGTGGAACGTGATGGTGGTGAACAACTGGCAGGTGCTCCTGGATGCCTATCGGCGCTACTCGGGCCCGTGAGTGACCCCGGCGGGCTGGTCCCCCGTGCCCCCCTCACGGTGCAGTGTGAGCCCAGACGGCCGTGCGAGCACACGTCCTGCACCCTTGCCGTGACTCTGGGTTTACCCCTTCTGGGGATTGCTGGGAGTGTGGCTTCTGGAGGATTCCCCGGTGCTGGGAGCCCTGGAGGCAGGCTGAGGGAAGGAGAGCCTGGAGCTTGGAGAGCGGACGGTCCTGGGTTCGAATCCCACTGCACCTCTCACTGCTGTGCTACCTTGGCCACTCACTGACCACTTCTGAACGCCTTGGTCGGGTCGCCTCGAAAACGGGAGTGGGGGTCACAGAGTTGCTGGGTGGACTCGCGGAACACTCCTGCTGCGTGCGTCATCGTGGTGTCCCATCTCGCACTGCTCACGACGGGCCACGGCTGGCCTTCCTGCCTCCACAGGTGGTCGAAGATCTACTTCGTGTCGTGGTGGCTGGTGTCGTCTGTCATCTGGGTCAACCTGTTTCTGGCTCTGATTCTGGAGGTATCCGAGACCCCTGCCTGGGCTGCCTCGGTGGTGTCTAACTTGCGGAGGACCTGGACCGGCCGTGCTGGGTTCCGGCTTAGTGCTGCTGGCCCTGGCTGCTGGGAGCCTCTTAGAATGCCCTTGACATTTGACCTGTGGGGGTTCTCAGCCCCTGGGCGGGGCTGGGGGAGGCCCATCAGGCATCTGGCTCCTGCGGGAGCTGGCGGCCTTGCAGGGCCCTGGATCCCAGCGTCCGGGAGGGGCTCAGCTCCCTGCTGTGGGTTGCCTTGCCGACACTGGAGGGAAAAAGGCTGGTTCATGTGGGGCTCACACCCGCTGGCCACGCTTTCTCCTCCTGCTTGCCAGAATTTTCTTCATAAGTGGGACCGCTGCAGTCACCTGCAGTCCCTTGCTGGGGACTCGGACACCACCTATCAGGGGAGGGTAGAGCTCTTGTTTAGGTATGTGGACGAGGAAGGGGCTTCTGCTCTGGGGGGAGGAGGAAGGGTGGGTGAGGCGGG